CGATAACAACGTAATTCTCTGCGTTATACCGAGTGAGATGTGTTACCATCTTTAGTCTGAGAGACTACGTACACCTCGCGAAATTGTCAGGTTAGGCGAGCAGAATGCTGTTAGTTCCCAAACAATAATGAAATGCTGTCGAACAATGTCACAGGCTCTCTCCCAAGTCAATGTCATTTCGTCTTCCGATAACAGGTGCTATCGTGTTATCTCGTCAAGAACACCAGCAATTAATGACTGTAAAGACACTGATCTTCGAATTGCACTGGCTTGATCTAGTCACAGACAGCCAGGAAAACAGTAAAGAATCGAGAAATAAACGCATTTACAGTTGCGTTCTGCTGTTGCCGCATGGTGGTAAATTTGTAACGTTCTGAAAACACATGGGGCTTCTCACCCCACATGCGATCAAGAGAATGGAGAACAGCTTGCAAGCATTGTTTCGTATGTAGTTGAAGGCTATCGAAATGTTGCTATCCCTCGTTGACCAAGAGGTGACGCAGTAATTTGATTTTAGATGTATCATCCATTGTACCGTTACCACCAAGCAGATCCACGTAATTAGTGAAGGTAGTTTCTCACTGCAGCCATTGTTGTGTAGAAGTTTCCGTGGAAGTGTTCCAAACCGGCTGAGGTGAGGTAATTGAATTCGCCATGAGTGATCCCACCTAGTTCGCCAGTTTGTTACGCCAAGACGAAATCAGAAAACAGAGTTGTGGAGTAAAACAGTTGTTCATCTCAACGACAAGTATCATTGTACCTCAACAAGGAAGCGAAAGGCATCTGAAGTCACATGCACAGATTTAAGTTACCAATCGATGGTTACGGCAGACGTTCAATAGCCGTAGTACAAACACACTCAAACGAACGCACGCGGTAAGCGTCTGACCAGGCGCATAAGCGGCCCTCAGGCCACTTGAGTGCTACTCCTAACAACTTATAAATCAGACGAACACAGTCTCATGGTCCAATAGGTTGGGGATTGAAAAAGTGATGGCTTCCATCTCAGTATAATAGAATCATTGCCACATCCGCTGCCTTACGGACCGGTCATCGTTGAGGACCTAAGTCGTCTAGTCCTGGGCACCCCGAGTTTCTCAACAAGCACACATCCATGAATATGTCTCCTAAGTTAATCACATTCTGCATCAGCCGTCGCAAAGCTTATCAAGCCTACCTTTATCTGCTGTATATAGCAGGGCGGATAAGCGAAAACATGCGACTGCTGGCGCAAAACAACATTTCATCCCATGAGATTTCTCACTCCCCACCCAACCCCCATTACAAACATGCGTTCTAGAATTTCCCGCCTAACTTAGAGCAACCGCAATGCCACTAGTCATAACATCCACCGCTATCTCTCAGCACATCTCACTGGATACCAATCGGCAACAGCTCCTTACAAGGCCACACTGTCCCGCATCTCTGGCGGTGTTCGGCGTTCGCACTACAAGAGAAATAGGTCAACAGGCTGCACCCGAACACATGATGGACCACCTGGGTTTTGATGTGTTGCGCAACCACAACTAGGAATAATCACCCTAGCGAGATTGTCGAGTCAACTGCGCCCGAACTGTCCTCCCGCTACCAGGTACCTGAATCCGCAGCTCCTGATGAGGAATTCACTGGTCAAGCAAGAGTGTGCATCGTGCTCAACTCCAAGGCTCAGTCCCGATATCTGATCGGACACAAGCGAACGGCCCGTTCGACATCAAACTAAACGTTGATACACGAAGAAGTAGAAAACGACGTGTGTTTCACGTTTCCGCTAAGGAACCTAAAGACTACAGAAATAATACTGCCAAGGAGTTCATCTATCACGAACCAAGCACGCTAGCAAGCACCGCTAACGGTTAAGATATCATACATGTTGCGAAAGATATGAATGCGCAAGCAGGTCGTATGAGCTCCACAGAAGCTCAGCTGGGTTATAAGTATGGCATTGGCTCCGAACGGACGGACAACGGCGAGCGTCTGTTTCAACTGTGTGCGGAGCACCAGCTGTTTCTTAGTAGCACCACTTTTAGACACAGTTGGCGCCGAAGTGTCACTTGGCGTCCTGCAGCTGACCAGCGATGGACCCAAGTAGATCACATTGACATAAGTGGCGTGGTTTCATCCTAAATTGTCGCTCGTTTCGGAGTAATTACGTCGACTTTGATCATGCCTTGGTACTATGTCGTTCTTCAATGAACTTTACCGGGAGCCGTACCAAACACCTCAGTCCTCGGTCAAGCAAAACTACCAAGATGCCCTGCGCCCCGACCTTTCTCTCTCTCACCTTAATGATATTGAGCTTCAATGCAATTGGTTCTCGGCTGTCATGCACGACAAGAGAGCCTCTGCCTGCGGCACCATCAATCGTCACCGCATCAGTCACTGCATATCCGAGAGGTAGGTGAACCCGTTGCAATTCAGAACAGAACTCCCTGCTGGCTCTGAACACAATGTAACCAGATGGGACATTAGGCGCGAACTAAAGCGGTGCCTGTTTGCTGTCAACGAAGCCTGGTGAACCAATCGGGCTCAAGAAATGGAGGAGGCAGGACCAGTAGGCAATTATCGCTTATGCTTCCAGCTGATCCGTAACACCGGTCCCAGCAAACCAGGCGTCTGTGAGACAATCAGAGACAGTGCGGGTGCCATGACTTACAATAAGCAAGGCAGTACGGCTCGTTGGGCGTAGTGATTTGATAGCACTGCAATTGGCCCCATACTCCTGGACCTTTCCCTACCCAGACGCTGCAGGCTGAGCCACGGGCGATTAGTTTAAAGGCTCCATCGGAGGCTGAGGTCCGAAACGCGACCGCGGTCTTTACATGTCTTTGTGCTGATGGCTCGGACTCACTCACACTTGCACTATGGTTGTGAGGTCCACTGCAAAGCACTAACCTTCCTTTTCGAACATGTCTGAAAGATGAAGACCATCTAAACTGACTGGAATGAATCGATTACAGTGGCAATATGACAAGGACAGTCGCATCGACTGTGCTTACCATAGAGGTATTAGCCTACCAACGGTTGTGACAAAATTACTGGCCTCAATTCTCGTTCGTCGCCTCACTGCGAAAGGAGAATCTGGGATAAGGGAAGAGCAAGCCGATTTCCGAACAGGACGGGGATGTGTAGACTATATATTCACTCCGTGGCAGGTGCTAGAGCGACGCCACAGGTACCGCTGTGTTCCTCTACTTTAAGAGTGCGTTCGACTCAATTGATCGATGCATTCTGCCCAAAAGGTGTTACAATGAAATACGTGAACATGCTATGAACCCCGTACTCGAGCACCGCAGACCGCTTCAGGGTCTACGGTGAGTTATCGGATATCTCCGTCAACCAGTGGCGTTCGTCAGGGTTGCCCATTACCCCAAGTTTTGTTCAACCTCGCCGTGGAGTGTTCCCTTGCGGAATCTCACGATGCAGGCGTTGAGATGTTGCCTGGTGGAAAGCGATTTGATCTAGCTTATGCGGACGATATTATCTTGCTAGTTGACGATGTTGGGGTGGCCCAGTCAACTATGAATAAATTCTCTAGAGTGGTCCCATCATTTGGCATGCGCTTCGCACCTTCAAAGTGCAAAGTATTGTTGCAGGACCACCAGCCACCTGATGATCTCTTAACCCTTGATAGCGAGGAACCCGAGGTAGTTGATCGATTCACTCACCTTGGCAGCTGCATCGGCAACGATGCGCGAATAACGACTGAAGTCAGTTTAGCTATTGCAAAAGCTCGAATCTGCGACATCTGTTTCATCCGAAATGAGTTTCCCTCGGTCTGAGAGGCTGTGTTTACAAGGCTACAGCGAGAGCCATCTTACTTTATGGTATTGAAAATTTGCCCCTTCGCTTTGAGGCACCTTCAAGTCTGTGATCATCGTTGTGTGCGAAGCATTGCTGATGTACGATTGCGCCAGCCTGTTCGCAACGATGATGTGTGTAGACGAGTTCTAGACCGTGATAACCACGCTAGTAGCTTACAAAAACAGAGAGCACAGAACAAGTTGCGTTGGTTTGGACACGGTCACCGGTCATTGCTTATCGAGAAGATTCTTGCTTTGTTTGCCGGATGTAGGGTGGCGCAGGTCTCGAGGTGGGCAAAAGTAAACTTGGCAGCGAGAAATGAAGTCACTGACGACCAAACTCGGTGCTGTTTCGCTTTCAATCCCGTTCACGTGACTCGCCGTGTGCTTGCCTCGAGACTTTACGGGTCTTTTCTCGCAGTCGGCACCAGTCGCGCGTCTGCTGCCGTCTCATGATCTCTTCCTGTTTGAAGTACGTCCTGTGTTATGTGCGGGGGAAAGGCTGACTATGACGCGGGGTAGTGAAAGCCGCAAGGAAGCCATCTTGCCGATGCCGGCTTAACTTTGCACAATGGCCAACTGTTTATGGCGGTATGGTGTTGACACGAAGTGTAAGCGCATTGACGCTGAACATTTGTTTCGAGCGTTAAGGTTTTACGCTAGGTCCCCCTTCTCTCCGTAGGTCACCATGGTTGTACTGCAGCGAGCATCAGTTCAAACGGATGATGTACTACTGTTGATGATGTTGAAGTGGAACTCAGTCATCCACTTCGTGATCCCCTCAATGCACGCAAACATTTTTCTTTGCTTGTTTCAGAAACTTTATGTCTTTGCTATTTTTGTCACCGGCGCCTTAATATCATGAGTAAAGGAAGAAACAAAAATTTAATTGTTCTGGTCCTTTCCAGTGTGTGCGGCCGAGGGTAGCTCAACGCTTCGCCGCGAACATTCATTGGCGAAACTCGACATAAGTACGCAAACATTTTTCAAAGTGAGAAAAACCTAACTGCTAGCCGGTAACACTGTGCAATTCGATCATGGGTGGAGTAAGTACGTCGACCTACGCGTAACAACAATTTCTGACACATATGAGAATCAATATATCGACAGACTCATGCCACGTGCACATGAAGGGCTAGAGAAGTAGAGTGGAAGACAAACGCTGTGAATGCATTTGTACCACGCAGACATCGTCATTAGTTAATCAGCAAATATTATATGCATCGCGGTTGGGGCAGGGTTCACGGAGTGCAGTTTGGCTTTCAATTTCTGCTCTCGTTTCGCTTGCCACGACGGATGTAACACGGAGTCGGCGTGTCGCCTTGCTTTGTCTTTCGGAAGAGGGTGTCGAGAAAGTTGTTTTGGTATCGTACCAGAGGATTTGCGGTTGCCACGAAATTCTGTCCCACGAAAGGAACCATGACTGCGTCCGCGGCTGGAGCGCACTGGTGGAGGTGGGCCATTCCGTTGGAATTTTCGGGTGAACTATTCGACAACAAAATAAGTGGCACAGAGAGAGTCTATTGAAGCGTTACATAATGACAAATGATGGTGCATGCGTAAATATCTGCGATAGCTTACTTTCAATTCGAGCAAAATGCCATTGTAGAGAGCAACTGGGCGACGAATCTGACGAGGGATAGCAAGTATGCTATAAAGCAAGCGTCATAAGTGATCAGATTGCAACCACCTGCAATCACAGCATCGATGCGTAATAGGCCGAAATGCGATACTAAACTAGGACAATTCGAAGACGAAACGAAGGCCGGTTGCAGAAGGTATAAAGGTTCCGGATCAAGGAAGAGTGGGAAAACCGATATTATTAGGTCATTCCATCACTACTGCAAACATCTACCATATTGCTAGTCATTTTTGTGCTTTTCAGCAGTTTACGAATACATGGGAAGCCGTAGAAAATCATGGAAATCCAAGGAAAGTACGGTTATTGTAAAAAGAAAACCGAACACTACATACTCCCTGTTGCTAGTTGGCTACTTGTCGACTTACCAAATCGTTAGGCGAAGTCTGCGGTAGTAACTGCGACGATGATAAAAACCTGGTTGTGTGGGTAAGCTATAGTTTGTCTTTGGATGCCACTTGATTACCTTTGGCGTCCATCAGTCTGTGAGCCAGCGCTGCAGGCCGATAGTAATCTTTATTTTGAGGAATCCAATGCGTAAAATCCACGCCACCAGTTATCGCTGTACTGTCGGATAAAATGATGTGTTCTACGCTCTTAAACTAATGTACGATATAGGACAAAGACGGCGAGCAGAAATTAATGCATAGTTCGAAGCGACGTCTCGCTATCACGCGACGAAGATCTGAAGAATGAAAATTAATAAAGGAGAGACCTAGTGTATGCCTGTGTCCTGAGCAAATAGCTAATAGGTCAAGACGTCTACACCATGTTAGTTAACAAACGACCACAAGTAAATGGCTAGCTTACGAACATACGACGGCATCGGTAAGACAGCTTTCATTCCCCGGCATCATAAGTTTCATACAACAGATGACCCAGGATCAGGCACAATTTAAACAGGTAATTCAAGTACGGAAATAGCACACGTACCGTTGGTATTGTCTGCAGGTCATTTTCTGCGTGGACAATAATCAGTAAGATGAACCAAAAACACCCAGCTTAGACGCCACTGAATTCTTGTTACGATGTTATTCAACTTCCCCCAGAGAGAATAAGGTCCTCTTTGTTAGGCAGTAAATACACGCAGCACGTGTACTGGCCCGATTATCACCGCCTAGTACTCGCCTGAGCACACACCAAGATTCGAGTGCGATCTCAGTCGAAGTAGACAAAATAGAAATGTAGCAAAGCTGGGTCAAGTACGTTGCTGGAAATGCACCCGTATTAAAGACATCTCCGGTGACAGGTGCTCCATAACTGATTTCTGCTTTGTTGGAATCGGGATAAAGAAAGTCCTGGCTAGAAATCTACCCGTACCATGACAATTGGAAGTAAAATGGACGAGGTTTAGTTCACAGCATACATAAAAACACGATGGGTACTGCATAAATAAAATTCAAAGCTTCATGACAGATCTTGTGCCAGCCTAGTGATAATAAATCAGCAGCACATTTCGTAGCTATGCTCCGCCTCCGTACAACAACAAGCGGTTATTCGAGGGCTAGAAAGTTGCAGAGGCATTCAAACCCATGCAGCAGCGTGGAACCTGACTCCGGAGGTCGACTTAGTAAACTATTAAGCACGGATCCTCAGCTCAGCAAAAAGTATCAGAAGGCTCCAGTTCCGATTGTTAACACTGAACACATGTGGTTGGAGAGTGCAAGTAACGACGAAGCCGGTCGCCCATTGTCACACTGGGAGGGACTGACGAGTACGTTTCGTTTTGAAGATCCTATTCCTGGCACGATAACGGAAAAGCCGAACGACATGGCTCGTCCACGTGGGTGCTCAGGCAATGTAAAGGTACTAACGCCTTTGAGAAATATGACACTGAGTGGTTTCGGCATTGGGAAGTGTTGTGGGGCTTGATCGTGTTCCAACTATTGAGACGTTCGTCGTCGATTGTCGTAAAGGATTAACTTTTCACAGCGTCACAATCCTCTCAAGAAAAGAGTCGATTTTCTTGTGAAGAAGAAGGGCAGACGACATCCCAAAACAACGATTTATATCAATTCATTCAATTCGTGCGGCACCAAATTGTCAAGCGTGTTCGACATTCCAAGCGCCCGCAAATGTTTTAGAACTGTCACATGCGATATTGTTAGACCAACAGCAAGATCCCGAAGAGTACTACGCAGATATGCTATAAATAAGGCTCTTGCTTGATTGCTGTTTATTACCAATAATCGTCCAAAACAATCTCCATCTTCAAGCCTCTTGTAACATCTTCGGAATTTCTGAAACCATCATTGTGCAGTACGGTTATTCGTGGTTCCAGCACCAGAAGCACTGTTGATACAATGGGCTGTGTCCGCTGCATTTCGACTAAGTGTGAATTCCTACAAGAAAATGTACGAATTTATCTTCTGTCCATAATTAATCAAATGTTCTGTAAAGAACTAAAAATGTCTTGCCGAACAAAACTGTAACAATAGTAAGATAGAAGGCAAAAAAAGTTTCCTAAAGATAAACTGGATCAAAGTAACAGCAAAACATAATGAAAAACACATCAGTTGAAAAAGAAAAAAAGCAATAAATATTATCAACCCAATAAATCAGCACAGGACGTACTTCAAACAGGCAGTCAGACAACAAGACGGCAGCAGACGCGCGACTAGTGCCGACTGCGAGAAAAGACCCGTAAAGTCTCGAGGCAAGCACACGGCGAGTCACGTGAACGGGATTGAAAGCGAAACAGCACCGAGTTTGGTCGTCAGTGACTTCATTTCTCGCTGCCAAGTTTACTTTTGCCCACCTCGAGACCTGCGCCACCCTACATCCGGCAAACAAAGCAAGACTCTTCTCGATAAGCAATGACCGGTGACCGTGTCCAAACCAACGCAACTTGTTCTGTGCTCTCTGTTTTTGTAAGCTACTAGCGTGGTTATCACGGTCTAGAACTCGTCTACACACATCATCGTTGCGAACAGGCTGGCGCAATCGTACATCAGCAATGCTTCGCACACAACGATGATCACAGACTTGAAGGTGCCTCAAAGCGAAGGGGCAAATTTTCAATACCATAAAGTAAGATGGCTCTCGCTGTAGCCTTGTAAACACAGCCTCTCAGACCGAGGGAAACTCATTTCGGATGAAACAGATGTCGCAGATTCGAGCTTTTGCAATAGCTAAACTGACTTCAGTCGTTATTCGCGCATCGTTGCCGATGCAGCTGCCAAGGTGAGTGAATCGATCAACTACCTCGGGTTCCTCGCTATCAAGGGTTAAGAGATCATCAGGTGGCTGGTGGTCCTGCAACAATACTTTGCACTTTGAAGGTGCGAAGCGCATGCCAAATGATGGGACCACTCTAGAGAATTTATTCATAGTTGACTGGGCCACCCCAACATCGTCAACTAGCAAGATAATATCGTCCGCATAATCTAGATCAAATCGCTTTCCACCAGGCAACATCTCAACGCCTGCATCGTGAGATTCCGCAAGGGAACACTCCACGGCGAGGTTGAACAAAACTTGGGGTAATGGGCAACCCTGACGAACGCCACTGGTTGACGGAGATATCCGATAACTCACCGTAGACCCTGAAGCGGTCTGCGGTGCTCGAGTACGGGGTTCATAGCATGTTCACGTATTTCATTGTAACACCTTTTGGGCAGAATGCATCGATCAATTGAGTCGAACGCACTCTTAAAGTAGAGGAACACAGCGGTACCTGTGGCGTCGCTCTAGCACCTGCCACGGAGTGAATATATAGTCTACACATCCCCGTCCTGTTCGGAAATCGGCTTGCTCTTCCCTTATCCCAGATTCTCCTTTCGCAGTGAGGCGACGAACGAGAATTGAGGCCAGTAATTTTGTCACAACCGTTGGTAGGCTAATACCTCTATGGTAAGCACAGTCGATGCGACTGTCCTTGTCATATTGCCACTGTAATCGATTCATCCCAGTCAGCTTAGATGGTCTTCATCTTTCAGACATGTTCGAAAAGGAAGGTTAGTGCTTTGCAGTGGACCTCACAACCATAGTGCAAGTGTGAGTGAGTCCGAGCCATCAGCACAAAGACATGTAAAGACCGCGGTCGCGTTTCGGACCTCAGCCTCCGATGGAGCCTTTAAACTAATCGCCCGTGGCTCAGCCTGCAGCGTCTGGGTAGGGAAAGGTCCAGGAGTATGGGGCCAATTGCAGTGCTATCAAATCACTACGCCCAACGAGCCGTACTGCCTTGCTTATTGTAAGTCATGGCACCCGCACTGTCTCTGATTGTCTCACAGACGCCTGGTTTGCTGGGACCGGTGTTACGGATCAGCTGGAAGCATAAGCGATAATTGCCTACTGGTCCTGCCTCCTCCATTTCTTGAGCCCGATTGGTTCACCAGGCTTCGTTGACAGCAAACAGGCACCGCTTTAGTTCGCGCCTAATGTCCCATCTGGTTACATTGTGTTCAGAGCCAGCAGGGAGTTCTGTTCTGAATTGCAACGGGTTCACCTACCTCTCGGATATGCAGTGACTGATGCGGTGACGATTGATGGTGCCGCAGGCAGAGGCTCTCTTGTCGTGCATGACAGCCGAGAACCAATTGCATTGAAGCTCAGTATCATTAAGGTGAGAGAGAGAAAGGTCGGGGCGCAGGGCATCTTGGTAGTTTTGCTTGACCGAGGACTGAGATAACTTCTCAGGTGTTTGGTACGGCTCCCGGTAAAGTTCATTGAAGAACGACATAGTACCAAGGCATGATCAAAGTCGACGTAATTACTCCGAAACGAGCGACAATTTAGGATGAAACCACGCCACTTATGTCAATGTGATCTACTTGGGTCCATCGCTGGTCAGCTGCAGGACGCCAAGTGACACTTCGGCGCCAACTGTGTCTAAAAGTGGTGCTACTAAGAAACAGCTGGTGCTCCGCACACAGTTGAAACAGACGCTCGCCGTTGTCCGTCCGTTCGGAGCCAATGCCATACTTATAACCCAGCTGAGCTTCTGTGGAGCTCATACGACCTGCTTGCGCATTCATATCTTTCGCAACATGTATGATATCTTAACCTTTAGCGGTGCTTGGTTCGTGATAGATGAACTCCTTGGCAGTATTATTTCTGTAGTCTTTAGGTTCCTTAGCGGAAACGTGAAACACACGTCGTTTTCTACTTCTTCGTGTATCAACGTTTAGTTTGATGTCGAACGGGCCGTTCGCTTGTGTCCGATCAGATATCGGGACTGAGCCTTGGAGTTGAGCACGATGCACACTCTTGCTTGACCAGTGAATTCCTCATCAGGAGCTGCGGATTCAGGTACCTGGTAGCGGGAGGACAGTTCGGGCGCAGTTGACTCGACAATCTCGCTAGGGTGATTATTCCTAGTTGTGGTTGCGCAACACATCAAAACCCAGGTGGTCCATCATGTGTTCGGGTGCAGCCTGTTGACCTATTTCTCTTGTAGTGCGAACGTCGAACACCGCCAGAGATGCGGGACAGTGTGGCCTTGTAAGGAGCTGTTGCCGATTGGTATCCAGTGAGATGTGCTGAGAGATAGCGGTGGATGTTATGACTAGTGGCATTGCGGTTGCTCTAAGTTAGGCGGGAAATTCTAGAACGCATGTTTGTAATGGGGGTTGGGTGGGGAGTGAGAAATCTCATGGGATGAAATGTTGTTTTGCGCCAGCAGTCGCATGTTTTCGCTTATCCGCCCTGCTATATACAGCAGATAAAGGTAGCCTTGATAAGCTTTGCGACGGCTGATGCAGAATGTGATTAACTTAGGAGACATATTCATGGATGTGTGCGTGTTGAGAAACTCGGGGTGCCCAGGACTAGACGACTTAGGTCCTCAACGATGACCGGTCCGTAAGGCAGCGGATGTGGCAATGATTCTATTATACTGAGATGGAAGCCATCACTTTTTCAATCCCCAACCTATTGGACCATGAGACTGTGTTCGTCTGATTTATAAGTTGTTAGGAGTAGCACTCAAGTGGCCTGAGGGCCGCTTATGCGCCTGGTCAGACGCTTACCGCGTGCGTTCGTTTGAGTGTGTTTGTACTACGGCTATTGAACGTCTGCCGTAACCATCGATTGGTAACTTAAATCTGTGCATGTGACTTCAGATGCCTTTCGCTTCCTTGTTGAGGTACAATGATACTTGTCGTTGAGATGAACAACTGTTTTACTCCACAACTCTGTTTTCTGATTTCGTCTTGGCGTAACAAACTGGCGAACTAGGTGGGATCACTCATGGCGAATTCAATTACCTCACCTCAGCCGGTTTGGAACACTTCCACGGAAACTTCTACACAACAATGGCTGCAGTGAGAAACTACCTTCACTAATTACGTGGATCTGCTTGGTGGTAACGGTACAATGGATGATACATCTAAAATCAAATTACTGCGTCACCTCTTGGCAACGAGGGATAGCAACATTTCGATAGCCTACAACTACATACGAAACAATACTTATAAGCTGTTCTCCATTCTCTTGATCGCATGTGGGGTGAAAAGCCCCATGTGTTTTCAGCACGTTACAAATTTACCACCATGCGGCAACAGCAGAACGCAACTGTAAATGCGTTTATTTCCCGACACCAGAGGTGCGGGACAGTGTGGCCTTGAAAGGAGCTGTTGCCGATTGGTATCTAGTGAGATTTGTTGGGAGATAGCTGTAGAGGGTATGACTCTAGTGATATTGCTGTTGCCGGAAATTAAGCTGGAAATTACAGACCGTAAGAAATTCGGGTTAGATGGCTTGCGGTAAAGCCTCCTCATGATGCCAGCTGTAAGGTTCGGGTATTTCCCGTTCCAGCGAATGGTTCGGCGGCAGTGTTCCAGGAAGTGCTGGGAGTAGCTTGGCAAGCGTTCTCCACACAAAAAGCTACAACAACACTATGACGTGGCGGATGTGACACGCCACTAAACAAAGTCAATGTTCCTCGTCTTTCTCGGAGACAGACACCAGCAAGAAATCCTAACATCGGATTTTGCCTTTGGCCTCGGGAGTGGTGGATTGCGGTATGGCTCTTCATCGTCCGAAAGGCGTATGAGCTGAATGTTCAATCACCTGTAACTAACGCGTACGAAACACTAATCTCGCCTTGCTGTCTAGTAGGTTAATCACTTTGGCCAAAGGCTCGGGGTCG